ATAGATAGATAGATAGATAGATAGATAGATAGATAGATAGATAGATAGATAGATAGATAGATAGATAGATAGATAGATAGATAGATACTTTATTGTCTCAAAGGGGAAATTTGTCTTGGACATCGTACGCCTGACAAAGCTGCATCTACGGTTAATACAGTAAAAACATCAATAAAAAGTCATGTAAGCACCTCAAAAAAAGTAAAAACACATATTTCTCAATAAACACAAATAAATTAAGAGAAAAAAGCACACACATTTCTCAAAACACATATTGCACATTCCCACACACCTTAGCAGACCTAGTCAAACCAAAGCTTTAGTAGCATGACAAACAATATATGCCTAGTTTAACAGTCTGATTGATGTAGGGACAAATGAATTTTTAAATCTATTTAATCGACAAGCAGGGATTCTAAACCGTTTGCCAGATGGTAAGAGTTCATATTGTGAGTTGAGGATGTGAGCACGGTCAGACAGCACCTTCCGAGCAAGTCTGAGGACAGACTCTTCATAGATGGACTGCAAAGAATAGTTGTCTGTCCTTCCTATCACCTTCAGTGCCGTTTGCACCATGCGACCAAGTTTAGATTTTAAATGCACAGAGAGGTTGCCATACCACACTGACATTCCAAACCTGAGGATGCTTTCCAAAACAGCCTGATAGAATAAAAACATAAGTCTCTGGTTCATCCCAAACACTCTTGAGTCTGCGTAAAAAATACATTCTCTGCTGCAGACGAGAACACAACATAACATGAGTCTCCCACATAAACAGGTTATCTAGGTGAACTCCCAGATACCTGTAAGAACAGACCTGATTTATTTTCTGGTCGTGAATAAAAAGTGGGAAATTGTCGCTWACGGACTTGGGGTCAATCAGCATCTCCTCTGTTTTCCTGGTTTTGATAATAAGGTGGTGGTCATCACACCACTGAACAAATGACTGAACCTCATTATAATATTGTGAGGAGTCCATGCCTTCATACAGCAGGCCAAGAATGGTAGTATCATCTGAGAATTTAAAAACATAATTCCCAGGGTAACTACTGATGCAGTCATTTGTATAAACAGTAAAAAGGACAGGAGAAGAGACACAGCCTTGAGGAACACCTGTACTGATGGATCTTGGTTCAGATAGAGTGTTGTTAACTCTAACAAGCTGTACTCTGTTTGTTAAAAAAGAATGAAACCAAAGAATAAAAGAGGAATTAAGATTCATCTGCTGAAATTTCTTAATGAGCAGGTGAGGCTGTAGGGTATTAAAAGCAGAGCTAAAATCTATAAAGAAAAGGCGAGCATAGGCCTTTGGATTCTCAAGGTGTTTAAGTATAAAATGTGTGATGCCATTAATGGCATCATCGGTACCTCGTCCTTGTCTGTAGGCGAACTGGAAAGGATCGAGACCAGGATTTATTTCTGTTTTCAAGATGGACACAACATATTTCTCCAAGCACTTCATTACAACTGATGTTAAAGCTACTGGTCTATAGTCATTATTATCAGGTGGATTTGACATTTTAGGAATTGTTATGATAATTGATTTTTTTCTAAAGAGAAGGAACAGTATGTGGATCAAGTCATCGCTGGAAAATGGGGCACCAGACAGCGGTGAACTCTTCAGCACAGGCTTTTAAAAGAAAAGCAGGAATACCATCTGGCCCAGTAGATTGATTCTTGACAACCCCACTAAAAAGTGACTGGATTTTGAGGGGATTAACTATCAGTCTGGTACAGGAATCAGTAAATTTAATAGACTGTAGTACTTTGTCACATTCTGAAGAGAAATCCTGTGTTTCAAACCTCACAAAAAAGTCATTGAGCTCATTAGATTTTTTAAGATCATCATCTGTGATGAGACACCTTCTCTTTGTGGTCTTATTGACTGCTACTTTCAGAGAGTCCCATAACTTTTTCAGTTCCCCCAATAAGAAATTATTCTCCAAAATATCCCCGTGTTTCTTCCTGGCCTCCCTCAGCCTTTGGTTGAGTTCTTTTTGCACTACTTTCAACCCAGTACGATCCTGTTTTTTAAAAGCAATTTTTTTTGCGGTTAATACAGTTCTTAACTTTTTTACTTATATAAGGTTTGTTATTTGGATATACAGCGGGTAAAATAAGTATTGAACACATCAACATTTTTCTCAGTAAATATATTACTAGAGGTGCTAATGACATGAAATTTTCACCAGATGTTGGTAACAACCCAAGTGATCCATGCATACAAAG